TATCCCTAATTTGGATCAAGACCCAATTTGTGATTTGTATTTTCAGGGGGTTTTGGCCCAATAGGGCAGAGAGAAAAAATTAGGGAAATAAGGCACATTTACTTTTAACTGGGATCAACGACATTTATTACAGTGTTTAACGAACTCGTCACGTTGGGTAACTAGTTCATCCAAATAATACTTTTTTATTCGAACTTATCAACTCGAGATGACGAGTTCCAATAAAATATATATTTTTTAATTTTTCTCACATCAAGTGTAAAAATTTGAAAAAAAAAATTTGTTGATTCTCGATCTCCCTAATTTTTTTCTGGCCTGCCGTATTGGTCCAAACAAGCCCATTTTCGGAGCACATGTTACCCATGTTTTTCATGCAATGGTCTAAAAAAATAGTAGGTCGTTTCCCTTGTTCAATGTCGTATTGAACTCTATCCGCTCATGTGATTGTGCCCACGGACCATCCTGTTTCACCCTTTATTTTCTTTTCTTTTCTTCAAACTATAAGAAACAAATAGCATTTTTATCAATTAATAAATATTTAATCAATGCAATACAATTACGTATCAAGCGACATCGGTAGTAAAAGAATTGTTATTATTCTTTGAGTTATTGAGTTCGAAAATCATAAATGCAAGAAATACGAGTGTTCAATGCCAAAATAGTTTAGAATTATCTATATTATTCCCATAAATTTCAAGTTCGATCACCAGAGACGTCATGATATTTAAACGTTAATTATCAAAAAATTAAGAATTTTTAAAACGTATATAATCACTCGTAAGCACCCTATATTAAAAATGTAATTGTGATTTATTCTCTTTAGTCGTTCGTGTTGCATATTAATATAATTTATTTTTTGAACACAAAAGGACAACAAATTTTAGTATTATATATTTAGGGTAAAGACGAGTATGCAGAACTTAAACCTCGATCATAACGTTAGACTGTAATAATTTTTCCCATCACAATATGTATAACACCCACCGAACAATAATCTTTATATGATCTTCACATCACATCATAAATCAACAAAATACAAAATTTATATTAAATGGTACAATAACTTTAGGTTTGAAAATTTATAACTAATTTTCTTTGAATTTAAATATTTTTGTAAGTACGGAATATAGTAACAAAGAACATACTTTTAGAGATAAAAGTTTATTTAAATTTTAAAATATAATTATAATTTTAAATATATTTCGTAAGACGTTAATGGAAAAACAAAATCCAAGTTTATCGAAGGTTATACACACCCTTTAATTTCTTTGCAATTTGGTGATTAACTTGCATTACTCAAAAAAGGGCAGAAAACGTGTTTTCAGAAAGCACCCACTTGGAAATAGCTTTCATGATTCTTGGGTGGTAGGTATTTATCAAATATGTAAAAAGATAATAATAATAATAATAATATTAAGTGTAAATTATAAATTTAATCACTCAACTTTCTTCTCACTTTTATTTCATCATTAAAATCTATTTTTTTTAATATATTCGTTAAACTTTTGTTTTGCTCCAATTTTAATCCCTTGAACATTAAATTAGAAATGAAAAGACGTGTGTTGACATGGATTGTTTTAAGCTAACATGACATTCATGTATCATCTATTTCATTTTCCTTTTTTTTTATCTTCTTTCTCCAATGAAAAAAAGTTTTATAGTTTTATCTTTATGTTACGATATCATTGAAATCATCATTCTTTCATGTCTTCGATGACCACTCAAAATACTTACAAACTATCCTCATCGTCTCCTAACACTATCACTTTAGATTTTTTCAAAATCGCTTTAAAACTTGTAGAACTCAACACAAACTCAAGACTCCACAAACCCTAAATCATTCTATTATACAATATTTACCATATGATCAGTGTGGAAACAAGTTATATAACACACTTTCACCTTCTCTACCTCCCCACCATTAAGAATTGGAAGAAGATGTTTCATCTAAGAAATCAAAGGGAATCTAAAATCATGAGTTTTATCACAAAAATCGAAGAAAATTTTAGGGTCATTTCATAATTCAAAGATAAATGTTCGGTCATATTGTCGTTAAGTATTTAGTGGTGGAGTGACTAAAATAGGAGCAAATCAAAAGTTTAATGAATAAATTAAAATTTTTAAATTTTAGTGACCACGATAGGAGTAAAAAGAAACTTGAGTGATGAAATTTGTACTTTACCCTAATAATTATAATACTAATAACATAATAATAATAATAAAATGAGAATAAAGAAGATGTTTACTGGGACAATTATGATTTAATCCCTCATGTTATTCATCTTTTCCACACAAAGGGATTTACAAGGCTACCAAAATGAAAAATGGCATAAATTTAAAAACTTTGCGATAAAACTAATCAAAAGGGCCTCCTTTAAGTCACCCTATATGATCAGTATACTTATTCTAAAACCACAAGGAAAACGAGATGATCCCATCCATTCCCTTATTTCCCACCTGTTTAATTATATTCCTCATCTTTATACGACTCCAATCCCCGCTTCCCAACACCAGCGGAAGACGGCGAAGAAGGAGAAGAATGGCCCAAGCTCGCTGCTGCCACGGTCAAGCATCCCTCACTCCACGATCTCCTTATCGGGTAAGACACCTTCTTGCTCTTGGGAAACGCACCGGAACAAGTCCCAGACAACGACTTGTCGTGTAGCGCACAACGACAATTCCGGTGATACGGCCGCCGCTCGATGCTGAGGTCGCAGCCGGAGATGCACCCCTCGTAGAGCAGCGACTGGAGAAATCCATCAGCCATCTTTCTTTAAATTCAGCACATCCACAATCACAGCATCGAGGCTGGCATAGGCAACGCACTCTTATTTATAGGAAGTGGTTATGGTAGCTATAAAGACAGAGGGGCTAAAAACTTTGTTGTTGGGGGCTGCGGTTGATGCGGCCATGGCGTGGGCCAATGGCCTTGCAAGAGCCGTTTCTTGAGAGTCGGTCCATGAACTTGGTATTGGCATATTACAACACTGTTTAATTGTTTGTCGTGAGCAAAGGAATTAGGAGAGAAAATTGGAGACAAGAAACCATCTTCTCTACGTTGTCTTAAAGAAAACATTTGGACTGTAGGCTAACGATTTATCGACCAAAATTTTGTAAGAGGTTGGATGAGAAATTTAGAGGATAAACTAACCAATTTAATTTAGATTGTTAGCTTGGAGTGGGGACATGATTTTTGGTGGTGTTTAAAAATATATAATTTGATTGATTTAACTTGACCTATAAATCAAATTAAAAATATTGGATATTTATAATGAAAATATTTGATTTTTTGGTCGGGTATCCGTTCCATTATTTTTCTCGTCTTTTTAGATCGAGTCCGGGTCATAAAAATTTGCTTAACCAAGTATCTGATTTCTTATTTTTATTTTATTTTTATTCTTTATTAGATCTTTTATTTATAATTCTAAGATTATTTCACTTTAACATTCTAAATTTATAATTTCTTAAATTATGTAAACATAACATTTTAAATTTTTTATTTCTTAAATTATTTCACATTAACATTCTAAATTATTTTTTAAAATATTTATTTAACTTTAAAAAACATATTAAATTTAATTATATGTCTTTGTTTAATTTTAAATAAAAATTTTCTTTTAATTATGTAATCTGATTTTTAAACTTTATGTGTGGATTATACACTATCGACCTTTAAATTTTAAATTTTAGAATTTTTTATATAATTTTTTAAAAGTAATATAATTTAAATACAAAAATATGAATCAGATACATGTAATCCAAAAGTACAAGTATCCGGGTTTTACGGGTACCCGACTTACGGGTACCCAGACGTAACGAGCCAGGACATAAGTCGATATTTTGGAACCCGAAAATTTTGGGTACACGGAAATAAAAGTACTCAATTTTGAACACCCTAGTTAGAAATAAAATTTATTGAGTGACTTCAAAAATTAAAAAAAAATATTATTTAGGATTTCGATTTGAGAAACTACGTCCATAAATATGTGTGCATTTTTAATAATTATAAAATATTTTAAATAAATATTATTTAATATTCATATAACTCAACAAAATATCAATATATGTCAAGAGATCATTTGTGTAGTTTATCTTATTTATAAAATATAATTTTATTATCTATTAATTATATTATTAAAATATGAAAAATTGGTTAATTGAATAATAAAACTACATTTTTATAATATAATTATTAAAATGTAATTTTACTAATAAAAACTATAAATGAATTTATCCTAAAATAATTTATGCTTTTGGGTTTAGGATATCAAATATAATTCCTAAGCTGAAAAAAATGTGGCGTAGCATACCCAGTTAGTTACCTGTCCCTTGGGAAAGGGAAAGACAAAGACCGAACCCAATTAGCATATCCGGTTCACTCACTCGATGAGACCGATTTACGTGTAGCTTCCTCTGTACGATGTTACAAGTGAATAACAATGCCCCGACTCAATCACATCCGGCCACGTAATTAGAAGTGTACAAAAAATTTGAATATCTAATTTTACGTAAAAAAAATATTCGAAATTGAATTTGGAAAAAATAGATTTTTTTAAAATCAGATCGGATATTTTAAAACTGGATAGTATAACCGGTTTGAAAAAAAATTGGACGACCGATTTTTTTATCGGATTAAAAACTGGTTTTTTATCCGAAAAAAATCCTGTATGAGATTTAAAACTAGCCATTAATATAACTGGTTTGGAAAAAAATTGGACGATTGATTTTTTTACAGGATTAAAAATCGGTTTTTTAAAAAAACTGATTTTTTTTAAACCAAAATCGGTTACACCATCCGACCCTCCAAACCGATTAGGATCTGAACCGATTTTTTAACTAGTGAAAAAATCAAATCAATTTTTATCCGGATCGAATTTAAATCCGACTTTGTGCACCCTGCACGTAATCCCCATGGACACATCGGGTTGACCCGGAATAAATGAACCTCCGTCAACGGTTCAGATTGATCCTGTAACATTGAACAGAGAGAATAAAACCGAAGGTCTTCGATTTCCTCCGAATACAAAGCTTTGATTCGGTTAATCGCCTCAAGCGGGCACAGCCATGGCAGGAGGTGGAAATAAGAGAAGATCAAATAACAACAAGAATAAGAATAACGGCAGCAATAGCAACAGCCAAAACAAATCGAAGAGTGGCGGTGGAAAATCTAGAGCCGACGCCAAATCCTCGTCTACTAGAATCAGGAACTCTCTTTTTGTGGAGGGTGGTCTTTTATCCGATTGGCAGTTGGATTCTCGAGGTTCCCTTTTCATACATTTTCTTCAAAATCTATCCTTTTTTTTACTCTCCTGTATGATTCCTGAGAAAATGTAAAAAAAAAAGAGAGATAAAAATCAAACACGACTTTCCTCTTTCTTTATTAGGAATTCTTTTATTAAACATGAGAGTTAAATGGGTTGTTTTCTTTTTCAATTATTTTAAAGTTCTTCATGGATTAGTTTGGTATTGTAGGAGTGAAAAGGGGTTGCTTTTGGGATTTTGAGGAAATAATAGAGATGTCAAATGATTTTTGTCTTAATAAGTTAATTCCTTTGAAGGGAAAAATATTTTTCTTATGGGGCGTTGAATTGCAGGAAGGAATGGAAACGGGAATCGAAATTCTGGGTTGAATTCTGATAGGGCAAAGGCTTCTACTTCAAAAAATGGATCAGCAACGAAGTATGGTGGAAGTGTTATACGGTATGAGTACCCTTCTCTCGATCTGCAAGTAAGTTCCTTTGAACACAGAAAGATGGTTGCTTTTATAAGATCGAGTCTAGCTAAATTTTTCTTCCATCTATAATAAGCTAAGGGGAATTAGAGTTAGATAAGAATTAAGAGAACTAGAATGAGCTATTTGAATGTATTTAAAACTGATTCTGGTTTCACTTTGGGTTTTTGGTACTGAATTGGTTTTGTCTATGTTTTTATTGCAATTTTAGTAGGAAGTAATTCTAAAAACTTCTCTGAACAAGCCCTACTTTCCGATTATGCGCTTGATTTCTTTTTTCTTTTTCACTGAAGATGTAGGGGAACATAGTCTGTTTTTTAGTTCTGATTTGTTATTATACTTGGGAGTTGGAAGGGACAATAATCTCGATATTTGACGATTATTTTTCTCTGCGCCGCGCTTCGTATAATGATGGTAAATGATGAAGCCTCCTACTTTGCCTAGTTGGTTTGTTCCTCATAACTTCCATATCCTTCTAAGAATAACCTGCATCAGCACATCACTATAGAAAAGAAGCTGAAAGGTAATGATGAAGTCATATATATCGAGTAGAATGTAGTGATAGATTTTATGTGAATTTCTTGCAGGATACAGAATCAGGTGTTCTATCCCACAAGGGAGATAATACAAAGGACGAGTCACATCCTATGGTTTTTCTTTCTAAGAAGAGCCAAATCGTTGCTTACATGGACCAAACCACACCTTCAAAGCCCAGTCATGTAAATTATACTTATGCGTATGGTTCAGATTTTGTACTAGGTGGTAGTTCTCACAAAGGGTTAGGTTTTGATGATGAGTCCGAGGCAACCCCTAGTGGAATTGAGTCATGTGCAAAGCAAATGGAAGAAAAAGAAGGGGCATGTTCTAATTTATCATCCTCTGACAAGGAAATTGATGATGCTTGTGATATTAATAAGAAGGTAGATGATGAGGTGGCTGAAGAATTGATTTTTGACGAATCATCCCCCAAGAAAAATTCAGGGTTTTTGTCAATTGGAGGTGTAAAGTTATATACTCAAGATATGTCTGATGAAGAAACTGGCGAGGACTATGATGGAGACTCACTGGGTGATGAAAGCTCTTGGAGTACTGATCAAGAGGAGCAAGATGGAGTATATGAGACTGATGCCTCTGGAGTTTCTTCAGATGATTCAGATATTGATGAAGAGGTTGCAGAAGATTATTTAGAAGGAATTGGTGGTGAGGGTAGTATTCTGGATACCAAGTGGTTGGTAGATCAGGCTTTGGATGAATCCGATGATGATAGTTCTCCTAATACTCCTTTTAATGAGACATTAGAGAAGCTGGGTGGGATTGCTCTACAAGATGCATCTAGGGAATATGGCATGCAGAAGCATAAACCGAGAAATAAATACTCTGGAGGTGCTAAAGATGTTTGGTCGCCAGCTTTGGATGATGTTATGCTGGTAAAGGATCCAAGAACCCTATCTGGTAAAAAGAAGCATGCTGCCAAGTTGCCACGGTCTTGGCCTTTACAGGAACAAAAGAGCAAGAATTCCCGAAAATTTCCTGGTAATGTGACTGTAGAATGATTTTCTTTAGGTGTTTCTTTTTTAGATTTTGACTGGAAAGCTGGATGTGGTTGGAATTGTGTAGAACTTCAATGGAAGGAAAAATAAGGAAAACAATAAAATTGACTAGACAGAAATCTAAAGATATTTTCCCCCCTGTTTTTTCTGCATGTGCTAAATTTTATAGTTTGGGTCTGCAAAAGAGAGAGTCTTACACCATTGTCATATTTATTATTTGTTTTCTCATTTGCGTTTAAGTCTATACAAACCCTCAATTTTTTAATGAGCTAAAAGAAGCTTTAGTTGTCTTATAAAATTTTAATATGATGATTTCTGGTTGCTTGGATGTGCTAGGATTCTTATTGTGAGTTGTGACATGAACAGATAAGCTGGTCCACCTATGTTAGTAAGCTACCTCACGTTCAGTCACTTCCCTGTATGTAGATATTTGCTTAAGATGTTCTGAAGAAAACCATAATCAGCTAAACCATTACTTGTGGTCTAAATGAAATCAAAATCAATTAAAACCCTAACAATCTGTTCGCATTTCAACTGGAAGGCCTCAGGTTCAAACCTTGAGAATAAACTATACTATATTTCAAGGTCACCATCACAGTTTCCTCTGTTAAACTTTCTCGACTTAGATTAGTATCTCTATATGCGTCCTTATTTCTTGGTGAACCAACTTTTGGAAATTCCCAATATGTTGATGCCTATTTGAAAATAACTTTTCTTTGTAGTTATGATTTTGGTTTTACATTAGTAGACCTGAACGCAGATCATGTTATATGTTCTTATAACATGCTCACTGTTCAGGGGAGAAGAAGAAACATCGCAAGGAAATGATTGCTGTGAAGCGCCGTGAAAGAATGCTTCATCGGGGTGTTGATATTCAGCAAATTAATTCGGTAAAATGAAAAACATTTCAAGAGATTTAACATATTGTTTCCTTTTATTGCATTTGTGGTGATTATTGATGTCATTTGTTTTCTCATAATACCCTGCCCATCATGCTTTATTTTCAACATTCTCTAGCCTAATTATCATGTTTTATTTTAAGCACAATTTCGTAAGTTTTAGTATTTTTCCCCCATAGCGTTGTTTTAAAATTGAGATTTTCTGTTTAAAAAGTTTAGTTGGGATGTACTGCATTTTCCCAACATATGCTCCTTTTCAAAGATTTTGATAAAGTCATTAACTGCTCCATGTTTTGATGGATTGTAGAAATTAGAGCAGATTGTTTTGGATCAGGTTGATATGTTTGCTTTTCAGCCAATGCATCCTCGGGATTGTTCACAGGTATGGCGCTATGGCTAACCTTTTATAGTTAGGGATTGATTTTTCATGATCCATCTCCTTTCCCCCTCATCTTTGCTCAATGATTTTTAATTCTATCTCATGGACATGGAACATTTGCTGCCACGAGACAATGTGATGCAACTATCATTTTAATAATTTAAGTTAGTGGAATTGAATGGCTTGTTTGGTCATTATAATTGTTCCTTGTCTGAATTTGGCACCCTTTTTCTTGAAGAACAACTTCAACACTTGGAATACTTTCGACAATTCCATATTTCAACCTAGCCCAAAATAGGATATTAGATTAACCTTAAGTTTGGAAAGCTAGTATGTTCAATCAAAAGTAAGGCCTAGCATAGGATATTTCATCAGCAGTGTTAAAGAAGATGACTTGTGGGATGAAAAATGTTAGTTGGCTGTTGAACTCGTGCATTTAAAAGGGAAACATGCCTGATCATACTGGAACACAAGTATGAAAGAATCCTGCTTTTAAATTCAATGGGGAGCTCTGACATAAATCAGCCTCAAAGAAAGGCTTTAATCTTATTTTTAACCATTCTGCCCAGTTTGCTGCTATTGGAGTATATTTGATGAACTTTAGTTCACTGTAGGTAAGAAGATTAGCTGCAATTTACCATTTGTCTAGCGTATGTCAGGGTTCTGGAAAGAAAAGGTAAATAGTCTTTTTCCTACTGCATGAATGGGGTCTGATGTTTAAACCTGATGTCATTTCCATTTACAGGTTTGTGACATTAACACGCACACAATACACTTCCATGCCATCTTCCAGCGACAAACTTCGCCTGGAAAAGGTACCAAACTCCTTTTAACTACATTCTTAAGGTTATGCACTGCAAGTTATATTTTATTTTTATTATGTACAGGTACGTATAATTTTTTGTGAGCCCTCTCTAGAGTTTGAGTATGTAATTGGATAGCTTATTGGTGAAAAGTAGCAGACCTATAACTCCCTTTTTTTTCTGGATTGCAGGTAATTGGAGCCGGTGATGAGGATGCTGACTTTGCTGTTAATGAAGGGTTTGATATGAAGGCATCGGATGCAGCAGGCAGAACAAGAGCAAAGAAGACTGCTAGAGGAAGTGGCTCTAATAAAGCCAGTTCAAGTAAATTCGGTGGATCAAGTGAGAAAAAAATAAATGGGAAAAAGGTCTCATATTCTAGTCAACCTGTCTCATTTGTATCTAGTGGCATCATGATATCGGAAACTGATGAGGTCAGAACTACGGATCCTGAGGGTACATCAGAAAGTTATGAAGAAAAGGGTATTGTCAGATCAGCTCAAATTGGCGCCTTTGAGGTACATACAAAGGGTTTTGGATCCAAAATGATGGCTAAAATGGGATTTGTTGAAGGTGGAGGATTGGGAAAAGATGGTCAAGGCATGGCACAGCCCATTGAAGTCGTACAGCGGCCTAAATCCCTTGGCTTGGGTGTGAATTTCACCACCACAAGCAGTGACTCGGAGAGAGTACATCATTATAAATCCGGTGGAGCTTCTGTAACCCGTATCAAAAGTTTTGGCGACTCATCGAGGGGTCAGCATAATAACTCTTTCGGATCTTTTGAAAAGTATACAAAAGGTTTTGGATCGAAGATGATGGCCAAGATGGGTTTTGTCGAAGGTATGGGGTTGGGCAAGGATTCGCAAGGTATCATCAATCCTTTGGTACCTACCAGGCTCCCAAAATCACGAGGATTGGGTGCTAATCACTAGAACTGTCTAGTTCAGTGCATGTGTAGTTCCTTTCTGTTTAGCATATAATAACATTAAGCTCACTTTTTTAACGTATGCTCAAATGATATTTACAAGTAATAACAGTTGCATTCGTTTCGGATCCTCTCCGGTTTATCATTTCCTTGATTGCTAGTTCTACCGATCCTATATTCTAGCTTTAACTTGGATAACCAGTTGCGTGGAGCTTGACTTAATGGATAAAGGGCCTTCTACAGTCTGCACACAAGCACGGAGCCATCTTTCACCATCTTCTCGTTTTCTTCCTTGCTCAGCCGCCCATTGTCGTTGCTGATAGTGATTTTGCTTTTAACACCGGCCGTTTCATCCTCGGAGCCGGCGGTCATGTTTAGTATACCATCCACACCTATATCAAAGGTAACACTTATTTGGGGTACCCCTCTCTGTGCTGGTGGGATACCAGAGCAAGTTAGTATCCCTGGTTTGGTTTGAGCTCGCTCTCCTTCGTAAACTTGAATCAATACACCGGGTTGATTATCGAAATATGTCGAGAAAAATTGTTCTTTCTTCATCAAAATCGTGTTGTTTCTTTGGATGGATAAAACTTTTCTTCCTTAAATTCTACTAATTCCACCGTCTTCATGGCTCGTCAATTAAAGAATTTGAAGATTTTTCATTAAAAAGTTTAGTACACTTAAATTGAAATTTCATTAGTGTAGTAAAAGATATTTCCAGTTAAAAATGTTTTAAATGAACCAATTTATGTTGGAATAAAGCTTGGGTCTTTTGACAGAATTCTTATGATACAAAATCTACTGATTTCAACTATGTGATGTCCTTTTTTGGATGTTTAACATTTTTGGAGTTTATTTTGTTTGCATTAGATGAATAATTTCATCTGAATGTTAACACGCTGCATACTGACATGTTATTGCTTTCCAAAATCTCAAGTTTTCAATTGTTTTACTGTTGTAGACTGGAGACTCACGATTTGAGGGTCGTGAACTAGTGTGGTACACTAGGGACCAGCTTCTTGGGCTTAGGGAGGTAAATTTATGAACTTGTGCATGGCAATATACTTCATCTGTGCATCAGAGAACTATTTGTAGCATTTTACTTCCATGAATCAACTAGAAAATAACAATTATGCTATTTGTTTGCATCAAGGGAAGTTGTTCAACGTTTTAAGTATCTGGTTTCACTTATATTAAGTTGATCAAGCAATTAAGTTTCTCATTGTTCTTAATCAATCACTATATTATTTCAACAAAACGTGTTATAATTTTTAAAAGCTTACGAAAAATGCATTAAGTTAATCATATCTTTCTCTTTTCATCAATGATTTTATCCTATTTATCATGTAGAACAATGACATATTTTTCGAATAATCTAAATGGTTATAAAATAGTATCTATTAAAAAAAATTCTTAGTAATTGACAATATACACATTCTACATGTGTAGTTATTCGAATCTAAGATTTTTAAAGATAATTCTACTTTCTTTTATAAATGAAATCATTCCGTAAATCCTAAAAGCGAACACCTTTGAAGGTATAATTTACATAAACATATTTATCTTACATATGATCAATAAAAATATATCATTTTAATAAGTAATTATTGAAGGGTGCATAATCTTTATCCATTGTCTTGTAATTGAGGAATATATGAACGGGTAAAATATACTGGAATTTGGTTCCAGAATTGGGATTATTTATCAGCTTTTCTTTTTCGGCAGGATTCCATTAAGACCTGGAATGTGTTCAACTCTGATGCCGTGTTACATCTGCCCAGTTGATTGCAGCTAACCCATTCCTACCTGTGGTGAAGGCACTCCTTTTTCCTGGAGACACTGCAAATGACCTTGTCAAGAGCCTCATGGTAAATTTCTAATTTTTTTGAGGGTGCATTATGTATAAAGGGTTTTTTTTAAGGATCGTAAAAGAATATGGCTCCTATGATCCACCATTGAAGCTGGCTAACCTGTTAAACGTCTATAACTTGAACATCGGAAGCCTCTGTAGTACGTGACAACCAGTGCTTAGAGGTTCTTATCCTTCTACCTTTTTGTTTCAGTTGCATTTTCTGTTTTAGTATAAAGAACTCGTCTACTCTGTTATCCGTAGGTATTGTAGGGAAACATATACATAGTCTGTCTTACGTTTCCATACATAAATTATTTGAAAAAACAAACCTTGGTCCACCCAGTTTAATGGGAAAAGGAAAACAACCAAGTCCGCGGAGTGCAATATTGTGTCATTATCAGAGGCTAGATTAATGAAAAGTATACCATGTTCAGCGAGCATGTAACACTTCTGATATCTTCTTCCAATCAGAATCGACGTCTGCACTGTGCATAAATTCATGCGTTGAATTGTTCCCAGAACCTATCCAGTGGACGACCACCGACCGCCACGGAGCCAGCCACTTCCCATGTACTCTCCATCTTCAGTGATTGGAGTTTCTGCACACAGTCGTCCATATTTGTGTCCTTTAGCCCTTTGATGTCAAAGATGCTATTGTCGTCATCTCATCTCCTTTATCCGGTTCTTGTACAGATTCTTGTGGGAAGCTGCTTCTGCATGGAGCTGCACTTGTTGGCCTTCTAAAATCTGGAAGAATGAGAATGTTTGGAACACGGCTAATAATCTGGGGTCTAGTTCCATGTACAATCACATTTGTGATATTCATTATAGTTCTCGTACGGCTCTGTTTCATTTTTTTGTGCTCATAGATTCATAGAATAAGTGATATGCATAGTTAGGAATAACAGCGGATCAGATATTTATAATCATCATTCGAGTTTGAATTTGTTTAATTGGTTTAAAATATAAATTTGTTTATTATCTGCTTATTAATTTATGATTTTGAATGTTCTTTAAGACTAACCCCTGAAATTGAAAAAGCAGGATTATGTATGAGAATCAAGCTTTACAATCAAGAAAATTGCTAATAAGCTAATTTCTCCACCCACCTGTGTACTCTTCGGAAAAAATCACTATAGGACACTCCACTTCATGGTTCCCCCTTATCTCCCTCCATACAGCAGCCCAAACCACAAATTTGAACTCTTCCTCTCCTGCAAGAGTCCACTGTCTTCCATTATGAACACTCTAAAAATCACCACCACAGATATCCCAGAAAATTTCAGCCTCTTGGGCTTCACTTCTACTTTGTAGTACTCTTTAGGACCAACAATCTCAGCCTCGTACTCTGCGGATCCGGTGTCTACTGTCTTCAGCTTCCTGGTTATTACAACCGGCTTGTCCCAATGCCAAACCCTTTCTGCCTCGACTGCAATTGAGGATAATTCAGTTCCCAGGTACCATCTCTCGAGCAGTGGGATTTAGATCCTGTAATGATTTCTAATTGTTTGTTTATGTAGCTTAATGAACATAAGAAGTTAACGTAGTCTTGGTGTTCCAAATCAAAGACCAAACCAGGGACCATTGCTTTGATAGGTAGCATTTTCCCTGCTCCGATATCGAACGGTGTTGTGGCATTGCCTGTGGACTCATCGGGGATCGGAGACGTAGCTGAAAAGGGCTTATGTCCATGGTAAAATTGTTTACGGGTAATCGAGATTGTCATTAAGGCTGATTTTATCTCGTTAAAACCCCAATCTCGGTGTTTTGATTTGATCAAGGCTGCATCACCTGATACATGTGGGCATGCCATTGATGTTCCGGACATGATGTTAAATTTGATTGGCGATGATCCGATGGAATACCAAATGGCCCTATTGTATTCGCCCATGCTCCTAAAATATCTACCCCAGGTGCTAAAATGTCTGGTTTTAGAATTCCGGGTACAAGAGAATTAGGACATCTTGAAGAAAATGAGGCAACGATTGGTGCTGGCCCTGCATGCTTTGGTATTGTTCTTTGTGATGATAATTTAGCCTTTGGGGTTTGTTTATTAGATGAGTTATAGTCCTCGATTTGCTTGGCTGCTTCGACCCCAGCGGTAATAGTCAGGATAATGTGGGGCTCCGAGACAATTCCGCTTGGGTCGAATATGCCATGGGAGATTATCATGGCAACTGCCCCATTTCTCTTAAACACAGCCCCAAGTGACAATCTGTTCACATGTCCTTGTGTCATGCAGAACACAATTTTGCCTCGAAAACTTGAACTTGGAGGAAGAATTGAATTGACCAACGAAGTGTAGCGGGAAATGCTTGCGCACAAAGTCATCATTCAGCATCAAGGTGATGGATGTACCGAGAACCGATATGTTGTTGTCGAGATGTATTTTTTCCAGGAAATCACAGTTGATTGTCCTGGCACCTACCGTAGTGATCCAAGGTGGTTCATTCGCCACACTTGCCAATGTCGGGCCGTCATTTCCGGCCGAAGCGGATACAAAAATACCGTTAGAAAATGCTCGGAAGGACACAATGGACAGTAAATCAAGATAGAAAGGCAAACGAGATGAGCCGAGTGAAAGTGATATGATGTGGACACCATCACTTATTGCAGTTTCGAAGGCCTTACAAATATCGGATAACAGACACCCCGAACTCCAACACACCTTGTAAACAGCAATTCTTGCTGTCGGGGAAATGCCACGGGCCAAACCAACTGAAAAACCGAAAAAACCAGACCCCGGCACAGGAGACCCTGCCACAATGGATGCCACATGCGTGCCATGTCCATCAGAGTCTCTAGCGGATTGAAACTCGGATGTTTGGGCCAAAATTCCAGTGTTGACAAACCAGATGATCGAGTCGGATCCCAATGTGTTTGTAACGTAAGGATTTGTGGATTGCAGACCAAGAAACGACGGTGAACGAGTCGTGTGGAGATGTACGACTCTGTCGGGGTACAGGGAGAGAAGTCAGAGAACCCCAGGAAGTTCCCGGATGGTTTTAGCTTGGTTAGGTGTCAAAGTTGCAGAAAAACCATGAATTGGAGAATCATGCACATGAATGATAGCAGAAGAAGAAGAAGAGGGTGAAAAAGAAGAAACCATCGAGTCGTACCAAAGTTCATGATGCTTGAAAGGTGATGGTTTTAAGAGG